ATATTTCGACATTTTCTCAACAGCAAAGACGACCGCTCTTTGTCGTCCCACCTCTCTTTGTATTATGCCCGTCGACTGATCATCTGCTGAATCTGGGAGGAGCCTTGAACCCTCAAATTGATCGTCTAAATGTGATGGTCTGCAGCGTCCCCATGTGGACACGTTTCATAACTACATGCTTCATCTAACACAACAACACGGTCACGTAGTATTCTCAGATATATATTAATATGAAGCAAATGCAAAAAAGAACACCAAGTTCCGATAACGTTGGTTTCATTAATTTATTAAATTAACTATATACCTATATTTTCTCTATTAAACGATCACATTTCTCACGGAGGATGTAAATTAAAAGGAAACACTGATTGAATGACTGTTTGAAATCATCTTACAGTATAAGCAAATACATTATAACAGGGTCCTGCAGTGTCTAATTTGTTGGGTATGATTACAGATATAGGTTTTCATGTGATTTCCATCCATCATGTTAGTTTATAGCTCATGTAATCATGTATTTGTACGAATAATCGAGGACGCTGTACAATTCAGTAGTACGAGTTGTGTTCAGCACCATGGAGAGCGACCAGCCAAGAGATAGTCAGTCGACAGTTCAAAATGATTGATTTTTAGATACAACAGCATATTAACAGCAAGCTCCATTTAAGACTGACTAATCAAAACCTAGATTATCATGTATTTTATTATTGCTGGAGAGGAGATCCCATGTTAACATCGCGAATGTTAGGAATCATTACATAGCCATTTAGTTTCTAAACAGGTAACTCTGCGATATTCAGGAGATTGAGAGTAAAATTTTCTCAAGAACAAAAATAAATGGTCTGTTGCTATATGATGTAAATGAAAACTAGGGATGTATTGTCTCAAAGAAGAGTGACAGTGTTAAGGCCTATGTGAAGTATAATTAAGGCAACGGACAAAGATTCATGCGCACAGTTACGTTCAGGAGCATAACCTTTAGCTTTAGAGACCGGCAGGTTTAATGCAACTCCAGAGAAAGACAGTTTGTTTGTTGTGTGAGTTAGGTAAAAATGAGAATGACATTAATTTTCTGTTTTAATATCACATCTATGGTGACATAAGGGAAGTACTTTAAAAAAAAACATCTTTCATTAACGTTGATTACTTCTGGTTAGATGATTATGCAAAACTTGAGTCGTGCTTTATAAGAGGAACCTTTGAGGTAGCAAATTTTGTCTGCAAAGCCTGGGAGAAAAGACAGAATACACTATTTGTGAATTAGATGTAAAGGAGCATGGAACATTTAAATGTTGTAAATTGGTCAACCACTGCAACTACATTTCTGGTGTCTTACATGCCCATGGGGGTTGGGCACTTTCTGTGCTTGACACGTTAATAAAATACTATCAATAAATTCGAAAAACCAGAAAACCCAGAGCTCTTATACTAATAAGAAATAGCATGTTGTGAAAATTGTGTTAATTGGAAAGAGGTTGATTTATTCTTACCATTTCTTTGTTGGGTAAAGTCTGAGTCCGTGTAAAAGTGTCTCCTCCATTTATACTGATGAGTTCAGCATCTACAGGTGGAAACTGTGCGGGGAAAACCACTACGTCACTCTTGAGTGTGTCTGAGCTGAAACACACGTCATACTGCTGAGTAGCTTTGGAGTAAGACCAGCTCCCGTCAGGGTGGGTGGTGATCATTGGGGCTCCGTACCTGCTGAAACTGCCGTCTGTCCTGTGACATTTGACAGCTATTAAAGTGATGAGGCTGAGCAGGAAGATGGCTGACACCGACACTATGGCGATGAGCAGATACAGGTTTAAATCAGAGAAGCTCTCCTCCTTTATGGTCACATGTCTGAACTGAGTGTGGATGTCAGCATTGCTTTCAACCACCACCACATCAATAGACACAGTAGCTGACAGGGAGGGTTCTCCATTATCAGAGACCAGCACCACCAAGGGGTGAGTTTTCAGGTCATTGTCACTCATTCTCCTCTTAGTCCTGATCTCTCCGGTGCTGGTTCCGATCCGGAAGAGATTGTTTCCTTTGGGCTCAGAGAGGTGATAAGAGAGCAGCGCGTTGTATCCAGAGTCTGCGTCTACAGCCCTGATCTTTGCCACAAAGTATCCCGCTTCAGCAGAATAGGGGATGCTCTCACTGTTGACGGAGCCGTGCTCAGAATAGGGCGCGAGAATAGTTGGATTATTGTCATTTTCATCCAGGATCAAAACATTCACAGTCACGTTGCTGCTGAGCGGAGGAACACCAGAGTCTGTGGCCTGAACTTTAAACTGAAACGTTTTTAACTCCTCATAATTAAACGACTGCAGACTGACTATATCTCCAGTCTCTGAGTTGATGTTAATCATTGTCGAGAGCGGCAGTGAGTTACTGTTGTTATGGAACAATGAATAGCTCACCTGACCATTTTGACTGATGTCAGCATCAGTTGCTGTAACTGTTTTTATAACTTCTCCTACTGGACTGTTTTCTTTCACAAAGACATTGATAATATTTTCTGTGAAAAGAGGTTTGTTATCATTCACATCTGAGATGTGAACATTAATAACGCTGGTGCTTGAGAGAGGTGGGCTGCCCTCATCTGTAGCAGTGATGCTGATATTATATTGAGATGTTCTCTCTCTGTCAAGAGGACCGTCCACCACCAGAGAATAGTAATTCTTATAATTTGACTCTAACTTAAACGGGACATCATTGGAGATTTTACAGTTTACCATCCCATTTTTTCCTCCGTCTTTGTCAAACACTGAAACAAGTGCAATGGCGGTGCCAATGGAGGCGTCTTCTCTTACTGTGTTTAACAATGATGTAACTGTGATTTCAGGGGCATTGTCATTAACGTCTAAAACTTCAATCAATAATTTAGCATGTGAGTGAGAGTGAAGAAGCTCCATCACTGGCCTGTACTCTGATCTCAAAAGCATTGTTCTCTTCAAAGTCGATATTTTCTTTATTTGTTACAGTACCAGTATTTTCATCTATAGCGAACAGATCAGATTTGTCACCTGATCTATTTTACTGAAGGAGTAAATGATTTGTCCATTCAGACCTGCATCTAAATCAGTAGCATTTAATGTTATTATTGAGGTTCCTATTTAACATTTTCAAAAACACTTGTTTTATACAGATTATGGCTAAAAACAGGAGCGTTATCATTGATGTCCAGAACATTTACTATAATGTCCATACTACCAGATTTTGCAGGAGTTCCTCCATCAATGCAGTCAATGTGAGACGAATCACAGACTGTTTTTCTCTGTCTAAAGCTTTCTGAAGCAGTAATTCGGCGGTAACACTTTCTCCTTTATGTGTGGAAAGAGTGAAGTATTCGTTTTGACTAACCTTGTAGGTATTACTGTATTTTTACCTACGTCTGCATCTTGAGCTCGTTGCAAGGGAAATCTAGCCCCTGCTGCTGTAATCTCTGTTATGTTTATTATCTGTGACGTGCTGGTAAATGACGGAGAATTATCATTTACATCGAGACAATTATTTCAATCCGGTACAGTTTTAACGGGTTATTAATAACTGCTTCTACACTAAGAGAACATTTGGGTTCGTCTCCGCAGAGTTCCTCTCGATCTATTCTCTCATTAACATACAGGACACCAGTCTTTAGATTTACCTCGAAGTATTTAGTCTTTGATCCAGCAACGATCTGAAACATGCGGGACTCCAAATCCTGCACATTGATGTTCAGATCTTTGGCGATATTTCCAACAACAGTCCCCAGGTTTACCTCCTCTGAGACGGAGTAAGAGAGCTGCCCAGACACCGAGTCCCAGTAACAATCCAGCAGCACGACCAAGAGATATATCCACACAGAGCTCGTTCTGCTCGGAAAAATCATTATTCCACTCATCGGGAAAAGGACGTAGGATACACGATTGAGTACGTTTCAACAACCCAGAGGTACAGATCACAGAAGAAATAGTCCAAAGAAATAATTTGACATTTTGGCCAACGAACCAGACGACTGCTCTTTGTCGTCCTACCTCTCTTTGTAACAAAGCCCATCGACACATCATCCGCTGAATCTGGGAGGAGCCCTAAGCTTTAAAGACGAAGTCTAAATGTGATGGTCTGCAGCGTCCCCATGTGGACACCTGTCTTAACTACATACTACATCTATTATGATCACACTGGTCAGTCGTAACAAATGTGAAATCTCTCTTGAGCAATGGCAAACATCAAAAATCGAATGACAAACTAAGCCGATGAGTCAAATGATATTTAAGATTCATATTTATCAGATTTTTTTTAAAGATCTTTCGTGAGATAAGTTAATATTGAAAGCAAGGTCCTTTAAAACTTCACTGTGTGTTATTTAGTGTTGAAATAGCGGATAAAGGTAATGTTTTTTAGTAATCTCATTAGCATAGTTGTAGAAGTAGGAAAAGTCCTTATATATCGATGAGTATAAACGATTCATCCCAATCAAAAAACACACAAACGTTGTTTAAATTATACACAAAATTCATTGCGGGGAAAAAATGATCGAAAAAGTGTACTACAAGCATACTACACAAATGTCAATGAAGTTCGAGCCAACTTATTGTTTGAAAATAAACTACAACAGGTTTCACGATGTTTACAACTTGTGGATATATATATGATAAAAACTTTGTATTCCGTTATTTTTTAGCATAGAATAAATCCAGCGAGTTCCCTTCAGCACAACGGAGAGCGACACACAATGGAAATGCATATCAGCAACTCAAAAATCTCCTGTTTTATAGATAATTTTAACAGTGAGCGAAAGTCTACATTGTCAAACTGAATATAATGACACTGACTGATTATTACATAGCACACAGCTTTTTATAAACACGTAAATCAAAATACGCATACCGTTTCTAATGCCATATGTGAAGTTTATGCATTGTCTTACCATTTCTTTGTTGGGTAAAGTCTGAGTCCGTGTAAAAGTGTCTCCTCCGTTTATACTGATCAGTTCAGCATCTGCAGGTGGAAACGGTGCGGGGAAAACTACCACGTCACTCTTGAGTGTGTCTGAGCTGAAACACACGTCATACTGCTGAGTAGATTTGGAGTAAGACCAGCTCCCGTCAGGGTGGGTGGTGATCATTGGGGCTCCGTACCTGCTGAAACTGCCGTCTGTCTGTGACATTTGACAGCTATTAAAGTGATGAGGCTGAGCAGGAAGATGGCTGACACCGACACTATGGCGATGAGCAGATACAGGTTTAAATCAGAGAAGCTCTCCTCCTTTATGGTCACATGTCTGAACTGAGTGTGGATGTCAGCATTGCTTTCAACCACCACCACATCAATAGACACAGTAGCTGACAGGGAGGGTTCTCCATTATCAGAGACCAGCACCACCAAGGGGTGAGTTTTCAGGTCATTGTCACTCATTCTCCTCTTAGTCCTGATCTCTCCGGTGCTGGTTCCGATCCGGAAGAGATTGTTTCCTTTGGGCTCAGAGAGGTGATAAGAGAGCAGCGCGTTGTATCCAGAGTCTGCGTCTACAGCCCTGATCTTTGCCACAAAGTATCCCGCTTCAGCAGAATAGGGGATGCTCTCACTGTTGACGGAGCCGTGCTCAGAATAGGGCGCGAGAATAGTTGGATTATTGTCATTTTCATCCAGGATCAAAACATTCACAGTCACGTTGCTGCTGAGCGGAGGAACACCAGAGTCTGTGGCCTGAACTTTAAACTGAAACGTTTTTAACTCCTCATAGTTAAACGACTGCAGACTGGCTATATCTCCAGTCTCTGAGTTTATATTGATTATTGTAGATATAGGTATGGAGTTACTATTACTCTGCAAAAATGAATAGCTGACCTGGCCATTTTGATTACTGTCTGCATCTTCTGCTGTCACTGTTGTTATAACCGCTCCTACTGGACTGTTTTCTCTCACATAAACATTAACCAGCTGCTCTGAGAAGCGAGGCGGGTTGTCATTGACATCAGAAACCTGGACAGTTACTATGTTGGTGCTTGAGAGAGGTGGGGTCCCTTCGTCAGTTGCAACAATAGATACGTTGTACTGGGCCTGAGTCTCTCTGTCGAGAAGACCATTAACGACTAACGAATAATAATTCTTATAATTCGTGTCTAATTTAAACGGGGCATTGTTTGTAATTACAGCTTTTACCACACCGTTTCTCCCTCCATCTTTGTCCAGCACAGAAACAAGTGCAATAGCGGTACCTACTTCAGCGTCCTCTTTTACGCTGTTCAGTAGTGACGTCACAGTGATCTCAGGAGCGTTGTCGTTTTGGTCCACCACCTCTACTAGAACCTTACAATGAGCAGACATCGGAGGCTGGCCTCTGTCACTGGCCTGTGCATGAATTTCAAACGCAGTGTTTTCTTCATAGTCGATCTTACCTCTGACTAAAATTGCTCCAGATTTTGCATCAATCTGAAACAAATCCAAGACACGATCCTGACCTTTTCTCCTCAAAGAGTACTCTATCTCACTGTTTAAACCTTCATCTGCGTCTGTTGCATTCAGAATGATCACAACAGACCCTGTTGGCAAGTTTTCGGTAACTTGTGTTTTGTATAAAGATTTACTGAAAACAGGAGGATTGTCGTTAATATCTAAAACGTTTATAATAATTTGCGAGGTTCCTGTTTTGGATGGATTTCCTCCATCTACTGCAGTCAGTGTAAGTTTTATAACAGAATCCTGCTCTCGGTCTAAAGATTTTAGCAGTACCAGGTCAGCAGACACACTGTCTCCCCCTTTGTTAGTTTCCAGAGTAAAGTAATCATTTTTACTTAGCTTGTATGTATTTAAATCGTTCTTTCCTACATCCAAATCCGATGCCCCTATTAGTCCAAATTTAATTCCTGGCGATGCGTTCTCGGCTATATTAAGTGACTGTAACTGCTCAGAGAAAACGGGAGCATTGTCATTTATATCTGTTATAGTGATCTCTAAACGGTAAAGCTTTAGTGGGTCGTTGATCACGGCTTCTACATTGACAGTACATTTTGCAGCCTTCGCACAAAGCTCCTCGCGATCTATTCTTTCAATGACATAGAGCACGCCCGTTTTCAGATTTACATCGAAATATTTTCTTTTTGATCCAGCAACGATCTGAAACATACGAGACTCTAAATCCTGAACATTTAGATTTAGATCTTTGGCTATATTTCCAACAAATGTCCCCTGGTTTACCTCCTCTGACACGGAATATGACAGCTGTCCACAAACCACGTCCCAGCAACAATTCAGCAGCACGACCACAAGATATATCCGAAAATGTCTCGTTCCTCTCAGGCAATACATAATTTTGTCCAGCGCAGAAATTGCATAAATTCCTCTTCTTCTTCCGTCACAGATCCATAAGACAGGTAAACAAACCTATCCTAGATCGTTGCAGTTTATTAACTAGCTCTTAAATGTCTATCCCTCCTTTTCTCTCTCGCTCTGCATCTCTTTGTAACAAAGCCAAGAGAAACCTCCTCATCATCCTCTGTTTCTGGGAGGAGTCTACTGCCTACTGAAATAACGTCTAGATGTCGTGGTCTATAGTGTCCCCATGTGATCAGATGAAGTAATTGCAATTTATCTCAGACAGTACTAAAAAACAAACCTAGGCACATTCAAATGTTTCTTAATAACTATACTATACTCTTCAAGTTTTTTCAGACGATCATAATTCAAGCCAATAGGTGTCATCCTGTTTCTCTTGTAGTGGAAACTGTTAACGACAAACATGTGCTTCTTGTCTCCTCCTTTTAAAGGAAAAAGCAGGGGCTACGAATGTAATGACAAAATATAGGTTTCTTCTCTAAATCTGAAGAAACTGTTATATTTTTAATCAGAAAATGACTAAATAATTTACTGAAAAACCTGATTCATGTTAGAGGAAATTAATCCCCCCCTCCCCAAGTAAACTCTTTATCCAACATTCTCCTCAATACAGGGTTAATATTTCAGCACCAAGGACAGTGACACACACTTCCTTCAGTGTGTGAGGTTTAAATAAGGTAAAGAGTTTATGAGCCTATATATAGTTATGACCTTGACTTGTGTATACATGTTAACACAAAAGAACACAGATGCAATATTCCTTTTATACGTTTCTTACCTTCTCTGTGTTGGGTAAGGTCTGGGTTCTGGTAAAAGTGTCTCCTCCATTTATACTGATCAGTTCAGCATCTGCAGGTGGAAACGGTGCGGGGAAAACTACTACGTCACTCTTGAGTGTGTCTGAGCTGAAACACACGTCATACTGCTGAGTAGCTTTGGAGTAAGACCAGCTCCCGTCAGGGTGGGTGGTGATCATTGGGGCTCCGTACCTGCTGAAACTGCCGTCTGTCCTGTGACATTTGACAGCTATTAAAGTGATGAGGCTGAGCAGGAAGATGGCTGACACCGACACTATGGCGATGAGCAGATACAGGTTTAAATCAGAGAAGCTCTCCTCCTTTATGGTCACATGTCTGAACTGAGTGTGGATGTCAGCATTGCTTTCAACCACCACCACATCAATAGACACAGTAGCTGACAGGGAGGGTTCTCCATTATCAGAGACCAGCACCACCAAGGGGTGAGTTTTCAGGTCATTGTCACTCATTCTCCTCTTAGTCCTGATCTCTCCGGTGCTGGTTCCGATCCGGAAGAGATTGTTTCCTTTGGGCTCAGAGAGGTGATAAGAGAGCAGCGCGTTGTATCCAGAGTCTGCGTCTACAGCCCTGATCTTTGCCACAAAGTATCCCGCTTCAGCAGAATAGGGGATGCTCTCACTGTTGACGGAGCCGTGCTCAGAATAGGGCGCAAGAATAGTTGGATTATTGTCATTTTCATCCAGGATCAAAACATTCACAGTCACGTTGCTGCTGAGCGGAGGAACACCAGAGTCTGTGGCCTGAACTTTAAACTGAAACGTTTTTAACTCCTCATAGTTAAAAGACTGCAGGCTGACTATATCTCCAGTCTCTGAGTTGATGTTTATTAAGTGGTTACCATTACTTTGTAACAATGAATAGCTCAACTGGCTGTTCTTGTCAACATCACTATCATATGCAGTCACTCTTTTAATAGTAGCGCCCACTGGACTGTTCTCATTCACGAACACATTAACTTGGGGCTGTTTGAAAAGAGGTGCGTTATCATTGACATCTGAAACATATATTGTAAATACACTCGTGCCTGAGAGTGGCGGGGTTCCTTTATCAGTAGCGACTATGGAGACGTTGTAGTTTGAGACCTTTTCTCTGTCCAGGGGTACATCAACCACCAGAGAATAATAATTTTTGTAATTTGCCTTGAGTTTAAGTGGGACTTCGTTTTTTATTTCAATTAACACATCACCATTTTCCCTACCGTCCTTGTCAAGGACTGACACGAGAGCAACTACGGTGCCTACATCTGCGTCCTCTCTCACTGTGCTTTGGAGTGACGTCACGGTGATCTCAGGAGCGTTGTCATTTTGGTCCACCACTTCTACCAGCACCTTACTATGGGCAGACATCGGAGGCTGGCCTTTGTCACTTGCCTCTACACGTATCTCAAAGGCTTTTTTTTCTTCAAAATCTATTTTGCCTTTTACTTTAATGACGCCGGTTTCACTTTCAATTTCAAAGATTTCAAGCACGTGATCTTGATCTTTGCTTCTCAATGAATATACTATCTCACCGTTCAGGCCTTCGTCTGCATCGGTTGCGTTCACAGTGATTACTATTTTTCCCAGTGGCGTGTTTTCAACGATTTTTGTCTTGTACAACGTTTCGCTGAAAATTGGAATGTTATCATTTGTGTCTAAAACATTAATTACGATCTGTGAGGTGCCTGATTTTGCAGGACTCCCTCCATCTAAAGCGGTCAGTGTCATCGAGAGCACAGGCTGCTTCTCTCGGTCCAAAGCTTTCTGCAGCACTAGCTCAGCAGACACACTACTACCTGCTTGGTGCACTGCCAAAGAGAAATGTTCATTTTGACTTAATTTATAATTGCTGACTCCGTTTCTCCCTACATCTGCATCAGTTGCTTCAGACAATGCGAATTTCACTCCCGGTAAAGTACTCTCAGCTATAAACAAATTCTGTAATTTTGTCATGAACAATGGGGGATTGTCATTTACATCTAAAATTTCTACATCAAAACGATAAAGCTTCAAGGGGTTATTTATCACGGCTTCCACACTCACTGAGCATTTTAATTCTTCTGCGCAAAGCTCCTCTCTGTCTATTCGATCACTTACATAAAGGACACCAGTCTTTACATTTACCTGGAAGAATTTCCTTTTGGAACCAGATACAATTTGAAACATACGAGATTCCAGGTCCTGTGAATTAAGGTTAAGGTCCTTCGCGATATTTCCGACAGGAGTCCCGATGTTTACCTCCTCTGAGACGGAATAGGAGAGCTGCCCAGACACAGTTTCCCAGTAACAATCCAAAATAAAAATCCATATATATATCCCCAAAAAGCTCCATCTACAAGGCGATGGCATTCTTCTGTTCAATATTAACACGTGACTTCCAAAAACAGTAAGATTGTCGTTAGTATGGGAAATATCATCCGAAGAGCGCTTTGGTTATGATCAGAAAACTCGCTGTCTGTTCCACCATCCTCTCTTTATAACAAATACTGGAGATATGTGCTTGTCGCCTGAAAACGGGAGGGGCCTAGTTGTATCATAAAGTACATCCGTCTAACATGGATCAACAGCGACGCCAAGTGGTTAAGTAAGTAACTTGCAGGCTTAAATGACATAAGTAGCTGTAAGTGACACCATTTTTTAAATTGATGTGTACAGTGTATTTGCTGCTTTGCTGCCTAACCCACATATGAGAAATATAGTCACATTTCAGCACCATGGACAGCGCACAGAGCATGTCTTGAGTCTAAAGCTGCTCTGATGTCGGGTGATTGTGTAAGAAGTGTCCTCCATTTATGAAAGCATTGTGCAAACACCCACACACACGCAGAGCTGTGGTCAGCTGAGGTTCTAATCAGTCATCTAGCCCAAGTGTCCTTGAGCAAAACACTCTATTCCCAACTGCTCCTGAAGATATAGCCATTAGTGCAAGTGTGTGTGGAATGGGGTGAATGTGGCAGTAGTGTAAAGCACTTTAAGTAGTTGAAAAGACCAGAAAGACAATATACAAGTGACATCCTTCTATCATTTGAACATGCATGCACCACAGCTCATTATACCCCCTTTTTACTCCTCTGCGCCACTCCTTTTACATTTTTTTATACTTCAAGCAGTATTTTTTTTAAATTGTAAAGAATAATTCAGGAAAACTTGAGTTAAAAATTGCAGTTTTGGTGGAGTGACACACACAAATTTCCACGGCTATCAGATTTTAAAGCATCAAACCATCGCATTTAAGTAACCTGTCCTCAGGGTAATCTGGACAACATGTGAGTCTGCACAAATGCAAAATGAGGCTAAACACTGATGCAAAATGGAAGAAAAAAGTAATACAATTGAATTCTTCAGCCTTTAGGGTATTATATAAAGGTAAGTAGGCCCTTTTGTTATACTGCACATGAACGCAGAAGGGACTTCCGTATGCTGTGCTATATTTTGAAGATTTTAGTTTTCCACAGAGACATTACTCATGAGCTTATGATCATTCCCTCATGTGTAATCCCAGGATTAAACCCTGGGTTCAGGAACTCCTGTCCTATTTCCATTCAGTAGGAAACATGATTTGATTTGAAAATATGAATAACCATCCATTTCCGTGCCGCTGTCATCCGTTAACCCCAAAATGTAATAATAATAATAGCACACAAAGGATGACCTGTATGTGCCCTATTCTACTAATGTATGTCAAGTGAAATTATGCATGGAAGAGTGGAATTAACATTTAGGTTATTTACATACATAAACTCACACACATACGCACACACCACCTGGCTCCACAGACCAGACTGCCCATGATGAAATTCAATGATTCATAGTTTATTTGTAGGTCACTGTCTGTATTGCACTGACCTCACAGGACCAGTCTGGATTATCTTTGTCATACAATCAACATGACAACATGAAGCACTGAGGCTACAGTTTACTCAGCACTGGCCAGTGAGTTATCTCTTCAAAAGCATAAATCTTACCAGGGATTCTGGTAAGGGATTCTGCTTCGTGGCCTGCTGACACTGTGAGATTATTTTATAGGACAAATGAATATGACATGTCAACATAACTGTAAATACCTCTAAAATGTAAATAAACACATGTACTACTATACACAGTCACATGAAATAATAAACAAAGCTACAGTAAAATGTTTATGATCCTCAAGAAAAAATAGAATTGCAAATCCCTATGACAGTTTATGAATACTACCAGGTGCTCTGCATGCCCACTTTGCCATGTGGAAGAAACACTGATTGTGTAATGAAGAGTCTGACCTACTCTTTAAATGCCAGAAGCAGCTTCTCTATGAATGATCCGCAGAAGG